AGAGAGAGAGAGAGAGAGAGAGAGAGAGAGACCCATGATTAAGGTATGTCTCGGTTCTTCTATAAATGTGTGGCTCTTCACATTTACAAAAAAGTAATTCAATTATGCATCTGTAGTCATGAGATTTGACTATGAAATAATAAATATGGTCAGGGTTAAAGTCAATAGCTCTTCACACTAATGCGTTCAGCCTCATTTATTCCTGGGCGTCAGAATGTTCAAACGTCCTGCTGTTTCACAATGTACCATATGAAAAATGACATTCACCCAGTGTGCCCTTGATCCAAGTAAATATGAAAGACGTATTGATATGTGGATGCAGCGGCTTCTGAAGAGAATATGTGTGTGCAGAATCCGTACCGCTGTGCAGAATGAGTGTTTTCTCCTATGTAGCGCATACGAGTATGTTAAAACACGCAACACAACAATTACTTACCGACAGCTACTTGCAGTAGATCAGCGCACACGAGAAAACACAAAGACAAGACGGTCATCTTTCCCATATTTTGCAATAAATCCCAAACTCCATTTGCGTTTACATGCTCTCCAGCAGCTCGCCTCGTAATTCCCACCATTCCAAAGGGATGCGATCCCACAAACTGGTCATGATGCTGTCCACGTGTCGGAGGGAAGATTGAAGTTTAAAACAAATGCGCACTCAAAATGGTGAGGATTGCGTAAAGGTGATTAAAAGCGTTGCATTGTGAAATAGTCTCCTCGCGAAGGCTGCAACCAGCGTTTACGCACAGACGAGGATTAAAAAATAGATATGGATTTGGATGAAAATCTCTCTATCTCTCTCTCTCTCCCTCCCTCCCTCCCTCCAGAAACAGACACGAACAGAGTCACTCGTGATCACTCGCTTTTTATTTCACAAAATTTTCCTTAATCCTACCCTGGCTCCAAACCCTTCCCCTCTAATTCTGTCCACTAAACCGATTTATTCCTGCTGGATTTTTTTCCAATACTGGAAAGGTTTTGAAAGATCATAATAGGCATAGATTATTATATATATTATACACACACACACACACACACACACACACGTATATTTATTACATATACATGTATTACATATTTATAACATATATTTATTCTTAGGTTGTATTTATATTTATGAGGTTTTATTTATTTATTTGTTAATGCCAAACTAGTTCTTCAGAATTGTAGCCTTTTATTGACATACAGAACCCTAACATATAAGATTTGGCCCATAACAAAGTGATGGTTAATGAACTGAATCAAAAAGTAATGATGAAACTTCACTCTTCATTTAAACCAAAAATATGGCTTTAATCTGGCTTTAATGTTCCCGCCGCTGAACGAGATAGCCAATCATAGATTAGACATTTTCAGTGGCAACTGAAGTAGACAATCAAATTTTAGGACTGCCTATAGGACCAACATTTTGACACACCCCCTGATCTATATACTAATGCCATTATCATAAAAATTGTGAGAAATACATTATTGGCCTTATAAAATGATACAACACTGCATGCTGACCAAGGACATGATTTAACGGGCAATGCTATGCGTGCTGGTAGACAAATAGATTAGTGTGCCATGCATATTGTTTAATCATCATAAAGGTTAATGTGGCCATATGGGTCTTTACCATGAATTAGACAGTTAGCGGAAGCTCCCACATAATACATATAGCCTAGCACTATACCTGCACCTGGGAGTACATTAATGAAATGCTAATCTTGCCTCCAACAACACCCACAAGGAAGGAGGGAAGCAAGGATGAAAATATTATGCAATACTCTGGGGTCAAGACCTCATTGCAGGTGCTCTGAAATTCAATCAAACGCACAAATTAGAAAATATATTTCTGAACTCTCCAACAGAACCTACCACAAGTGCTAATTAAAAAAATGTGGGTGTTCTCGAACATACCTGAGGCGATTTAAGGTCTTCCTGATGTTGAACTCCATTGTGCCGAACACTTTGTATTCTCCTACACCCACACTGTAGATAGCGAGTTCTTGCACAATCCTTTCGGGACGCTCGGAAAATATATATTGTGTAGACTGTGAATTTGGCTCATTTAAATGTGTATTTGTTTTTATGTGCTGAAGAACATTAAAAGGAGACTGACAAAGCCATGCAGCGATATCTGGCTGACATTAACGCTTACAATAGTTCCTACTACATATTTATTAACTGAGCCAGAGTGTCAGTTGGATATTCTCTGCCCTGCTTAGGCCTTCCTCTGAGTGCACATGCTTGCGGAGTCATGACAAGACCCTTGGTAAGGCTCTCTGATGATTTATGAGGCGGCGGTGCTGTGACGTACGGGAATGAACAGACGGGAGGAGAGGAAAAACAAAATGTGAGGACTCATAAATGGTCAAAGACAGCACGTCTCTAGAGCATGCATGCTCTTTGCTTGAGATGAAGTGGCCGCAGAGCTTCTGGTGCAAGTAGAGCTGACGTCTGGGCAGGGGCCTACAATACTAATGTGATATCACACATCTCTAGAGGGCAGTGTCAACAATAATTTATTGAAGCAACACTGTCCAACATGTTCCTGTCCATATGGCACTTGCCCCTTGGACATCGACAGACCTCTTCAAGAAGCAGCCACACCTACTGCATAGAACCTGGAAAGATCAAGTGCTGGAAATGTTTCTACGAACAGCGTCACCTAGGGTATCTGCAAATGAACCCTCACTCAGCTTCAGAGAGTTTTCATGTTTTACTAAGTTTTCATGCATGTGGGTCAATAGGGTTGTCTGTGAAGATAAAAAAAAAAAAATCCTTTAAAAATCTAGGTTAAGATACATATGTCAGGTTGTTAGAAATGCAATCTTTGCATTCATGTGGGTTTGGAATTTTTTTTTTTGAAAAATATTTACTACAAGTATTTTGATATAATGACTCTTTTAAACTGAATAACCATCATGTAAAAAGTACTTAATAAAATACAAAAATTATAAAATAAAATTCCATCCATTCCCTCAAAATCATTATTTTCGATATATACTGTATATATATATATATATATATATATATATATATATAAAAT